GAGAAATGAATCAACTTTGTTCATCTGTAAAGTCTATTTTTCTAGATTTGATGCATTAATTAAATTGCATCCTGTGAGATTTATAAAAAATTTTGCTACTTTTCCCTAGTCAGGAATATTAAATGTAATCATATTGAACAGCTATTTTCCTGTGAATAGATATCTGTTTATGTATTTTTATTTTTGGCCCTAGTTTTAGAAATGTTCTATACTGCATTATTAAAGAATCTTGTAAAACCATCTATTTAACCTAATGCTAGTAGCAGAATATTTTTTGTTAATAAGCTTTATACCATATGAATATATGCATATTTGTTTTTTGTACAGATAAAATATATTCTAGTACAAATACTAGAGTTCATATCTTCTGTTCTTGGATATGGCCTTTAAATCTACTTCAGGGTGTTTTTGTGTATATGGATGTAAATATATACAGTACAGTGCACACATCTGTGTGTATGTATGTGTATATATGTGTAAAATAAACAGATGTGCAAACCTTGCTCATAGACAGGTCTCCTTTTCTTTGTGTGTTCCCTTTCTTCATGTTGTTTTGTGATCCCACATCTTGATGTTCCTAGAAGTTTCAAATAGCGGGTCCCAGGCTGTGTTATCACTGCACCTTGTCTTTTTGTTAAGACCTGTTGAAGTACAATGTATACTATGTCATTAACTTTGGTAAATAGTGCTTAGTAGCTTCCCCCTCCCCTCATCAGTTTTTCTTTGCCCGTTTTGCAGCCAGGCACACACATTTCCCAGGTAATGTTCCTAAACTGCTTAATTTTGTTTTTCTTTATCCTGTGCTTAACAGCGGGGCATTGCTGCATTTCAGTTGAAAGCTCAGGATTCCACAAGACCTTTTTGCAAGCAGAGGGCTATCAAGCTTGATGCGCTTTTCTCTGCAGTTGGAGGGAATAGGCTATATACTATTCTAGTGAAAACGTTGGTTAACTGTTAGAGGACGAGAGTTGATTCACTAGCTTCTAGTCAGTGCTCCTAGCATTGACTTAACAGCAGTTGCATATCAGCCCCCAATATGAAGTATAGTACAATAAATTTCTGCTAAAGAATAGAGGAAAATGATGTAATTTGAAGGTTAAGCTATTGTGGCAGTAGAGTATGAATCTTGCATATTACATCTTGGCTTGTTCTGCTGTGTTTTCAGTTCAATGTGCGTTAGAAATAGCTGGAAAACATCTTGGGGAGATGCTGCCTTATGTGAGATAAATAGTGGATGAATTGAGTCTTTGCAAATAAAGATACCAGTTGAAGTGTGGACATGGAATTTTGGAGCTGAGTGCTGCTTTTATATAGAAGATGTTTTTATATGACGTGCATCAAACGAATATTCACAGTCGTTTTCACAGAAGCACCTTTTTTTCTAAAAAATGGTTATAGTGCATAAAATTTTTCTACAACGAGGTCAATTGCTTTCTGCTGTTAAAGTGTTGCTATTACCATTTTGTATGTTCTAAAAGTGATGTCTGCGTTCAGCAATGATTGCCCTTTGACAAATGTGCGGTTTTGCCACTTAATCTGGTAAAAAGTAAGGGAAGCTGAGCACGGAATTCTTCACTTTTGTACGCTTGTATGTTTTTGCATCTTTGTGAACATTCTCTTAGGAAGGAATATAACGTGGGGTTTTTATGACTGAGGCAATTAAAAGCTCACAGTTTATTTTGATTTCGGTTTTCTTTTTTAATTTGCATTGGGCTGCAATCAAGACCCTTACATGTGTATTTCTTAATGCTTTTTTAATAGTATGTTAAACCACTGGACTTTCTTGTAATGTATTAATTTGTGAAACTGATTCTAAATGTGTACTGTTTTTCCACGTGTGCAACTTATCATTGTGCAAACAATAAAACGTTAATGCTGTGATCCTTGTAATACATATTTGCCTATTTGAAAGCTCATTTCCCACTGCTATGATTCTCTTCTGTTATAGCTACCCCAAAATGGAGCCACTGCAAAAACGTGCTGCCTAAAGTGTAAAATTCTTGCTGAAATTAGGGCTTTGATCTCTGGATTGCACGGGGCCGGGGAGGGCAGGAGGAGGAGGAGAATATTGTGGTTTTACCTGTCTCCTCTTATCACTACGCTGCACAAATGTGGATTGTGCTGTAATGTTACAGCAGTAAATAGGGCTTTTGTCCTTTTGTGAGTATTGTGCATCAGAAAGTTAATTTTGAAGCAGTCTGTTACGTCTTGGTACCCCTATTCTGTTTCTTTTCAAATTGAGGCAACAGTTATCTCCTTAGTGTAGCCCCAGTGCAAAGTGATTGTATAGTAGAACAGTGACGTGCTTGGAGTGTACAAACTGAAGTGTTAAAAATAGGTTTTGAAATAACTGATTTACGCCCTCGGAATATCACCTTGTTTAATTTAGCCCTGCTTTACAGGCCTTGTTTCAAATTTTTTTCAAGTTAAGCTATCTAATGTAATTAGACTGCAAAATACAAATACCCTGAGGGAGCAACTTAGCTTCTCACAAGACGTTAGCATTATCCAAAAAGAGGCTGACCTGTATTTAAACACCATGAAATTGAAATCACCTCTGGTTTATTTGCTTGTTTTGTTAGTTTCTTTACCAAGTAAGTGCACTAGAGGAAGATTGAAGTCATGCTTTGTAAAGCAGTGTCATAGGTAGGCAGGGGGCTGTGGATCTCTTATTAGTTAAGACCTTGCTGTACAGCTGTAGAGTAAACTTATTTTATGTGGCCTCTTTCTGTTACCAGAAGTAACGCGCTTCCCCCGCCACCCCCGTCCCGTGTCTGACTATAAGATATATAGCAAGGAATGATAGAGTTAGGCCCTAGACTGCTTGCTTCATGAAACTCTTACTTCTTGGGCTGGCATCTTAAGACTTTCTTCACCCCCTTCTTTACCTGTTTTCCTGACACTCCCACTCCTTCAGCGGTCGGGGCTCAAGTAAGGGGCAGTTGGACAGTTTTCTGCGTCTTCCTCACTGCAGGGCTTTGAAATCCAAACCCAGCCATGCGCCTTCCACCTGCATAGTCATCTCATGGCTGAGCCGTGACCCTTACTTGCTGTTTTTATGAAGAGGGAAGTTCCAGAATACAGGGTGATGGCTCCCTTCCTCTTCGTCAGCGGTGTTAATTCCTTGTGTTTTTTCTTCTCTTGTGTTAATGGTAGAAATAATCCAGTGTCGATTGTGTCAGCTCTTGCCTGTTTACAGGTTCTAGTACCTGTATGGACTGTCTCAGCAGAAGTTATGAAAGGATCCACCTCTAGGTTTTTAGCAAAGAATTGGGAGCAACTGTTGTGTACAGAAAAATCTGTCGATACTGCAGAACGTCAATCCGTTATGTGCTATACGAGTTTGTTTTCCTAAAACTTGTATTCAGGTTTATAAGAACAAAGAACTGGCTATGCACAAAAGCTGCCAGCAGTGAATTACCCAGCTTTTAGACTTAACTGCTGGGATTGTGCTGTCTAGTTGTTTGCCTTTCCCCTTCTCATGAAGTACATTTTGAACCCATGGCTAATTTCTCCAGACATTGGTGGATGGTTACAGGTATCACAGTAACAGATTTGTACAACTTCTCATTTAAAAAAAAAAAAAAAGTAGCTGGGCTCGGGGAGGGGAGTGAGACCGGGCTGGTGCCTGCAACTCTTCTGGGAGGCAGCACTCGCTTGCTCTTTCCGCACATGCGGAGCATCAGCCCAGCTGCAACCCGCTGTCTCCTGCCACACAAGTCAGGTATGTTAAAGGAGGATGGAGGGGGAGAGGGGGGAGAGTTTAGGGGATGTGAACACCAGGCTTTCTCCTGGGTGTGGGACAACTTGTTCCGATGCAGTTTTGGGATTGTTTTTTCTGAACTGAATGTTGAATATTTGCATGGTGAAATCTTACGGTGGAGTGGAGTGTTGCATTTGTGTAGTCCCAAATCAGCTGAACTTGTAATATAAATTTTATATTACTAAAATGTTGTGTTCATAGGTACAAATAGATGATTATAGCAGTTTTATCATTTACCTAAAAAAAAATTGTTTTTTTACATGTAGAGAAAAAGACATTGCAAACTAACTCCATAACCAGAGGAATCAAAAAAAAAAAATTAGAAGAAAAACTAACTTTTTAACGGACTCCCATATGATTTCCAATTGCTTTGTAGTAGAATGTTGCTTGCACCAGGTGGCAGGAGACCACTAGTTTTATATTGTCAAAAGTTGCTACAAAGCTATTGGAGGAATTGCTGTCATGCAGGATGCTGCCTTTTGTGTCCAGGTCATTCACACTTTCTTGCACCTTTTTCTGAGGTAGTAAGGCTTTAATAGATTATACCAATATTTAAATAATCATTCTGAGCTATTTCATTCTATTGCTCTGAGTTTATTACTTAAAATACTTTTTTGCTTATCCTTAGGAATTTAACCTTCATAGCCCGTCACTGCAGCTGTGAAGAGCAACCATGAGAGAAGTGAATGTGCTAGGTGTTACTTTAGGTTTAATATTTTTCCAAAGAATGATTTACTTTTGCTTTTTTTCCCTTTTAGTTTCCATTATAACTTACTATGAACCGATTATGAATAAGTTGAGAAGCTTCTGCAAGTTTCTAAGAGAGCTCTTGGGTTGATTTTAGTTGGGCATAGACCTCTCTCTGCTAGGGTAACAGGTCAATTCTATTGAATGCTGGCATAGAAAACTTGGAATAATGCACTTCTGTTCTAAATAGATCAATGACTGAACAGTCAAAAGGTGTTTTTCTGGTTTGTTTGACAAAGGTCTTAGGGACTGATGGATTTACCTCTTTTTCTTTTCAATCCAGGTGTCACTATGCGGCATATACTCGGACAGCGCAAGGACAGCAGCTTCCTAGAAAGTAGTGCAATTGCTTCCAAAATGCATTTTTGATTAGACACTGGCATATATCTCCTAGGCAATAAATTCCTTGTTAGACATATGTATTTAATGTGACA